GTGTCTATTTACTTGTGACCATGCCATATATATAAACTAAATATTGCAAAGTTAAAGTTATTAGCAAAAATTGTAATCATGTTTCATTTTAAAAATAATCTCAGATATTATAAAATTTAGACTAAAATTGAATAGCTTAAATGTTATAATTAATGAAGTGCCAAAAAAATGTAATAATTAATTTTAAGCATAAGATTGTTAATGATTTACAATTTTTTTAAATTTTCCATGATTCTGTAACACAACATATTTTTTTTTAAATATCTAAAACCTGTTAGTAGTTTTAAATATGAAATTCCAATAGGACCTCTTGTATATAATTATAAAAAATTTTTTAACTTATTTAAATATAGATAATGTGAAGAAGTTACCATGTGACTGTTACTTAAATTCCTTGACAGACTCTTTTCATAAACATGTTATCATTGGTAACTTGGATATACTAAAAGATAACTCATTACGAAAAATCTTGGAAAAAGGTGGAAAATATAGTTACAAAATGTAGAAAAATAGTTATATTGATTTACATAAAGAAAAACATAGAAGATTATGTTCTCAAACTTAATTATTCTACACATTATCCTCCAAATTGGGTTTTAGAATGGAGATAAATTAGCTTTTATTGATTTGAAAAAAATATCTAATAGACATAACATTTTTCATTTTAAAACTAATGTTTATGCAAAACACTTGCATAAACTTCTTTGATATTCTTTGTGGCTACAGAGGCATTGTTTCTTTTCTTGTGTTCAAACAGGATTACATGCTGATTGTGTGTGTTGTCGTGTGCCATCAATTTAAGGGATTAGAGTATACTAAAGTTTACACATTACACTGGCTACACTATCGTGACATTTAGGCAGTTTGTTTAACTATTATACGTGATGTACATTTTTTTTGGGGGTGGTTAATGAAAGTGTTCCAAAACGCGACATTAATTTCTTGATGACCTAATACATTCACAGCTACTCAGGTATTGTAGAATTTATAACAATGAACAGTTCCTAATTTCCAACATTACTATATCAGTGAATAAATTGATTTGTAATGGATTTAATAAGGTAACTCTAATTAAATATTTTAAATTATTCTGTAATAAGTATACAAAATATGTATGTAAATTTAAAATATTAGTATAAACGAAATCATAATCAACACAATAAGTAATAATTTCTAATTTTGTAAGGGAAATTATTGGAATTACATATTTTGACTGTATCTTGTATAGATGTATTAGTATAGATGTATCACTTTCCCTACATAAGACCTGCTACTATGTAATACTTTGAAGACCTTAACAGTAGCATGGATGGGAGCTATACTAACAATTTAGGTTGGGCTTGTATAGTAATACCTTAACATCGTGGTATTTATGTCAAACATTATTATGGGGGTTGAATGCCAACTTCAAGGACACTTTTACTTTCTCTCCCATTGATGTATGTATTCCAGTTATTTCTTTCTTCTTTTAGCTTCTACTTTCCCACATCTGGCTGCAGACAGCGAAAGTTTGTAAAGATGTGGGATGTTGTGGGCTAGCACACCCACATCTGCTCTTTTTTTATTTTTAATATTTTTTCTTTCTTTCTTTATTATTATTATTAAGAATGTGAGGCCTGTGAAACTGAGGTTAAACTGGATAGACGGTGTACCCCCAACTCAATTTGGGTCTTACTTCCACCAGTACCTCAAGCACCAGGTCACATTGGATAACCACCTACCTTATTATGGTGTGTGCCCAGATGATACATGTCTGTTTGTAGCTGCATTGTTTCCATTTTCTTTTTTGCTTTCATTCCAATTATATATATATAATTCATTGATGAAAACAGATGGTTCAAATGAGTTATCATATCGTGTGATATGCGAACTCCGCCCATTTTTCCATTTCCACCAATTAACAACAGAAATTGAACAAATGTATGCTAGGTTAGTTAGTTGTGTTTGTTTTTCAGTAGTAGTTTGTATCAATTGCTGGATATGCATAAGTGTGCTTCTGATATCTTCAGTGTTATATTATATTGTGTAATCTATATCTAGTTTTGATCAGTTGATTAATATCATCGACATCTATTTTAGTATTGCAATGCCAAAAACTAGACAGTGTTGTTTGGATAACCTAGTGAATTAAAGCTAAATGTCTTGCCAAACTATGAATCCGTTATGAAACTGTTTATTGAATCATCGTGAATCATTGCCTTCGATAAACTTTGTTTCATTTAAAATTACAGAGCCATTACCGAGAATTGACCATCCTGAGGATCCTAGTACAGATCAAAAACATTGTACATGTCATACAAATACCTGACACTACCACATTGTACATGTCATACAAATAACATTGTACATGTCATACAAATACCTGACACTACCGGTAGTGTCAGGTATTTGTATGACATGTACAATGGGGTAGTGTTAGGTATTTGTATGACATGTACAATGGGGTAATGTCAGGTATTTGTATGGCATGTACAATGCGGTAATGTCAGGTTATGGTTCAAGAGAACTTGCTTTACATGATCCTGGTAGAATGAACCATTCTCACTGGTTAACAACAGCAAACAGGATTTTACGTCTCTATGTCACAACTTCTAACCCATCCAAGAAGCTCAGTTTGTTAGTGAGATATGTAATTGAAGTGTATGCAACAGTTTGGTTTAATATCAAGACAAATCCCTCATGCAGCCATGGCTCACTGTACCTTTTTCTACTTGTAAGAAAATCACGTTTTCTTCCTGAATCAGAGAAATATGTGGTAGATAGAGTAATCCGGAGAAATGGATATCTTGCCTACCTGGAAAATTTGCTGCTTGCAATGCTTTGAGATTATTCTAAGGCTATCAGACAACTTGCTATTCATAGAATATTAGGCGCTTGATCTACTTCAAATTCTATCACAATGAGACAGTATGTGGTTCTGAATATTAATATGGAAGCTCAACATATAAGACTCCTAAATTAGCTAAACATTGCATATCCAAAGTTATGGTACTTTGATTTCTCATATACTTTGATTATGGATATTTTAAGGAAAATACCCCCCCTCACGGCAGTACAAGGTATAATTTTAGAAGCCTGAAATATACCCACATAATTACTACTATTAAATGTTATGGAATATGTTTTCTTTTCACTTTTCCTTAGAACATTTTATATCATTTATGTTTAGAATTATTGTTCAAAATTAAAAGTATTTACGTGAGGTACAGATTTTTATAATAAAGCTGCAATGTAAAAAAATGTTAAACTCAGAATTAAGTTTATAAAATACACTTTTATTTATGTGTATTTAAAGTTGAATGAAAAATGGTGAAGAATTTCAGTACAACAAACTGACCAAGAAATATGAGATTCCTTCTTGGCTTAATGCTAAAGACTTGCACTTTAGGTTTGAAAGTTCATAATTTTAGATGATTACAAAACTATATATACATGTATATATAACTTGTTTTCCAGCATAAGGCTGTTGTTTTAATGATATCTTAGTATGCAAAAGTTATCCCTTTAAGAGCAATTATGCTTATTTGAGATAGACAAAATTAATTTTTTATTATTATTACTTTGACTAATCTGCTTGTGTAGCATTTTTCAGTTATCAGTTTCTGCTCTGACATAGAAGTAAACTGGTTTCTTGTGATGAATTAAGTATTTTTGGTCTCAGAAAATGTGTTAAATGAATGAATATTACCTTTATGTATGACATTTTATTAAGAGATTTGTTTGTTTGTAGAGTACATGTGCGACGTACAGACAAAGTAGGAACTGAAGCAGCTTTCCATGAAATAGAAGAATACATGGAATTTGTAGAAGAATACTACAAGCAGCTAGAATTAATACAACCAGTCTATGAAAAACGAGTGTACCTTGCTACGGATGATCCTAAATTATTGGCAGAGAGTCATCAAAAGTATGCCAGTAATATAGATATACTGAACAATTTATTTATTTGTGGTTTTATTGAGACTGTTAAACAATATCTTCACAAAAATAATCTGATTATGTTTTTTATGAAGGTCTAACCAGCTTGATGTTTATCATAAGTTAGATATAATAACCTAAAAAAATTAGATGTGTTGTTTTTTCATCATTCTAAGTCTAAATGATTTATGTTGACTTGCATAAAATGTAAAATATGAAATACACTATCTGTTATCAGTATCTGTTGAGATATTTCAGCTATATAGGTCTTGTTTCTCCTAAATTGTTAACTTTATACATTTTCTATTTGAAATTAACTTGATTGTCTTATCAGAGTTCATTTATACCACTATAAATTTTTTCTTTTGTATTTTAGGGTAAATTAAGTTCATGATAGTTTGGGTGCATCCTGTTGAAGCATTTTTTATGATTAGCCAAACAAACATCATTAGTTCGTAACATTCATTCCTCTCAAAATTATATTTAATAAATGTTTTATGAACATGTTTTCTAAAAATTAACTATAATCTAGTAACAATATATATATATGGA